GGTTTGTAACGAGTATGACATTTGGGCTTAAAAAGGTGTGAGAGAAAATGTGGACACATTTTAATGACGTGTCACTTTTAGCAGTTTAAAATACGTATGAGTGTAAGAGGAACTACTAACCTGAGTCAATGGAACCATGTTCCCTGACTGATTTTTGTAAATATAAGCTTCATCTTTCTACCAAATTGCAATATCATTAACTGCTTGTTTGCTCTGTAATTGCCATGCGTGTTTATCTGTAACGGTATAGAATTGATTTAGAAATTACTAAAAAATACTTTTTGCCAGTTAACCTTTACATTCCTTCATAGCCAATCATTGAGGGACCTAGTACTCGGTTCAATTTTATTAGTCCCAACTCCAGTCGATTCTTTTCAAAATTCTCTCTGCTTAATGCTTTGGTAAAGATATCAGCTACCTGTGTTCCTTTGAGATACCTCAGAATTCTCTTAGCAGCTTTCATATGAGATTCTTTTGGAATTGATTGGAATCTAACACATAATCCCACACTGAACACAATGTCAGGTCTGCTGGCTGTGAGATACAAGAGTGAACCAATGATACCCTGATACATGGTTTCATTCATAGGGGAACCAGGTTCATCCATGTCTAGACGAGTGGAAGTGGCAATAGGAGTATCAATAGTCTTTGAGCTTTCCATCTCAAACCTCTTCAGAAGCTCTTTAATGTATTTTCGTTGACTTATCATCGTTCCCTTAGAGGTTTGCTTAACTTGCAGACCTAGAAAGAAGTTCAGTTCCCCCATCATGCTCATCTCAAACTCGCTTCCCAAAAGCTTGGCAAACTCCTCACATAAGGAATCATTTGTTGCACCAAAGATGATATCGTCAAAATAAACTTGCACAATTAGCAGGTTCCTCCCTCTTTTCTTCAAAAAGAGAGTGTTGTCAATTTTTTGTTCTTGTAAAGCCATTTTCCAGAAGGAACTTGGACAACCTTTCATACCATGCACGAGGGGCCTGCTTTAAACCATATAGTAAGATCCCCACTATTTAAGGACTCAAAGTCAGCCACGTAAATATTTTTGAATCTTTTTGCCATCAGAACCACTTCACCCATCGCAAGATTGGTGACAGTGCAAGACTTTGATAAGAACTTCACTTTGTTTCCTTTCTCGTAGATTTGAGAGACACTCAGCAGGCTATATTTCATGCCATTCACATAATACACGGTCTCAATTGAGTGAGTAGGTGTCTTCCCAACTCTTCCAACTCCCAGAATATATCTTTTTTTTGTCATTGCCAAAGGACACACTCCCACCTAGCAGGGCTTTGAGTGAAAGGAAATCACCAGTACTTCCAGTCATATGTTTAGAGCAGTCGTTGTCCATATACCATCTTTGGTTGCTTCCTTTCATTGCTCCCTGCACAAGAAAATTAGAAATTAGACTTAGGAACCCAAACAAGTTTGGGTCCCTTGTAGTGAGGAAAAGGGCGAATTAAACTCCTTCTTGCCCAAGCAGGCATCACACGTTTTCTATTGTAGGGACCAGGTTCCCTAGCAGTAGATATTTTTTTAACAAAAACTTTATTTTTCTGTTGGGACTGAACAATAGATTTATAGGAATCTTTAAAATGCTCAGTGTTACCACAATGAGTGCAAAGCTAGTTATCAGGGACAATAACATACTTGCTATGTGGGTTGTAATGAGCCTTTTCCTTTTGGAACCCAATTCCCTACATGTTCCCCCCATTACTTTTATACATGGAAATGATTCTATTGGTCTGCTTTAGAGATTTATCTAGGTCATTTTTAACCCTGCTTAGATCTTCCTGAAGTTGTCTATTTCTTTCAAGTTCAGCACACAGACTCAATTTTACCATTTTGAGTTTATTTTCAAGTTTAAGGTATGTCTCACTCGCCACTTCCTTACCTTTTGAAGAGTTCATGCCATTTTCAATTAAAGCTTTCACAGAAATATTTTTCCTTTTTAATTCCTCTGTTGTTTCCTTTAGATCCACAATTACTACCAATAAGTCATCTCTCTCATGCTCTACCTTTTCAATTTTCTTAGTTAGAATATCTTTTTCATTCTTTAAATCCTCAATGGTTTCTTTTAAATCAATAACTATGACTAGTAAATCATCTCTCACATGCTCTATCTCTCCTAATTCCACAGTTAAAATATTTTTATCATTGATAAAGTTATGGTAAGCATGAATCAGAGCATTTGCTAAGGATACAAGCTTCTTTTGAGAGTAAGACTTCAAATTTCTTTGAACGTCTAGAAAGTTTACCTCATCATCATCATCATCTTCATCCTCGTCAAATTTTGCCATCAGGGCAAAGATGGAGTCATATTCAACTGCTTCGCTTTCAACGTCCATCATGGAGGTGTCGCCTTGTTCATCATCTCCCTCAGATTCACTATAGGAGTCTTCCCATACAGTAAGAGCTTGTTTCATAACATTGTCAGCGGCATCTTTTCTCTTGAATTTCTTGTCAGGAACCGGGTTCCTCTTGGTCGTTTTGTCTGTGTTGTGCTTGTGCTCGTTTTGCTTTGGAGAGGACAGTCTTTGATGAAATATCCTAGCTTCCCGTATTTGTGACCACAATCAAAGCCTTTTGTTCTGTTAGAGCTACCCTTTTTTCGGAATACCCCCATTTCTGCGAACCATTTTCTAAAATCTCCGTGTCAAATAGGTCATGTCAGCATCATCACCACTTGAGTCACTGTTGTCTGCCTTGAGAACCAGGTTCTTCTCCTTTTGGGGTTCTCTTCTTTCATGGTCCTTCTTCTTTTTCATTTCGTAGGTCTTTAGATTTCCAATGAGTTCGTCAATCGTCAGCTTTTGCAGATCTTTTGCTTCCATGAAAGCATTGACTTTAATCTCCCAAGAACCAGGTAACACACTGAGTATTTTTCTGACCAGTTTGTTCCTTGGAATGATCTCTCCTAGAGAATGGATTTCATTGATGATGGAAGTGAAGCGAGTATGTATGTCCTGAATAAATTCATCATCCTTCATCTTGAAGAGTTCGTACTCAGTAGTAAGTATGTCAATCTTTGATTGCTTGACTTGGGTTGTTCCTTCATGTGCGGTTTGAAGAGCCTACCAGATCTCCTTGGCAAATTGACAAGCTGAGATTCTATTGTACTCGTCTGGTCCAATACCACAGACGAGGATCTTCTTTGCTTGGAAGTTTTTCTCTATAGCTTTGCGGTCGACATCATTGTACTCCTTCCTTGTCTTTGGGACTGTCACTACTGTCTCGCCAATGGTCTTCATGGGGATGAAGGGTCCATCACAAATGACATCCCAAAGCTCTGAATCTTCAGTCATGGTAAAATTATGCATTCCTGTCTTCCACCAGCCGTAGTATTGTCCATTGAATCTTGGTGGTCTGTAGGTTGATTGGCCTTCTTCAAAATTTGGTGAAGCAGCCATGTGGATCCTTTTTAGATGTTAGCCTTATAGAAAGAATCTGCTCTGATACCAATTGATGTAAATTAAGAGTCCACCAAACTGTATAGAGAACCTGGTTCTCTATCAATTCCAACAGAACACACCCACACAACAGTATTTTACATGAAAAACTCCCAGCCCACGGGATTAAAAATCACGACCTACACTCGTAGGATTTCAACTTCACTAACCGAGCAACTTTAGATTACAACCTATTGTAACCTAGGAATTAGACTCTTAATCCCACACCTACTTGCAATAACTCTATTGCAAGTCTCTTTATAATAACTCTATTACATAGCTCACCACTTTGACTAACTCTAGCCAAATACAAACACATGGTTTATGGTTTACAAAAGATATCCTACAAGACTTCTAACTAAGCTGAGTAGGAATTACAAATGAATAACATTAACAAAGGTCAACATTACTAAGGACACACGATGAACTCATTGCTGGGATCTGGTCCTTTGTTCTGTTGCTACTTTGTTCTTCAAGCCTTGGAGTGAATAGATGCGGCAGCACACTTGAGAGAGACTTAATGATTTAGGGTTTTCAAGTGCATGTTTTCCCTTGCCTCATGTTGATAATATATAAATGAGGTCATTGGGATGATGTAAGCGAGTATCTGGTACACAACATGCTCCAAAAAGTGACTCCTGCATTGTTGCGTGTGCAGTGCAACAGTGCAACAGCTTTAACAGCTGTAAGAAGTTGACTTGTACTATGACCAGAGGAACTGATAGTCATCTGTTCCCTCTGCTGTTTCTTTGACTGATATTATTGGAACTTGTGCCGGACGTATGACTTGTTGTTCTGAGCACTTTGATGTTGTGTATTAGGTTCCCTATCTAGTTCTCATATGAAGTTTGTTAAATCATCAAAATAAAAAGGCACATAACTTTTCAATTTATACTAGGTTAATTTATGATATAGAAGTAGTTGGCTGAAGGAAGTTAAGAGTTTTATTAACGTTTTCATGGTGATCAGCAAGTGTTCCGTACTTCCGTATGTAAGTCAAATAATAATATAATTATAAGTCAAATAGAACTAATGCTGAAGTAGTTGATTCATGATGGAGCCTACTTTTGCAAGGCGTTTGTAGGATTGGTGCAACATTCCTCCATTGACATGATCACTTAGTTGGTGTGGTCTGTAAGACTCTTTCACGGCTTCAAGAAGCAATACATTAATATAGTCAATTGTAAGCAAAAAAAGGGTCACATTTTATGGATATTTACATTGTAGATGTTAGGTGGTGTAAGATCGGATCAGTGATTTAGCGGGATTATCCAACTACGGGAGTTATTAACAGATCTCTCAATTATTATAACCCCCCGTTAACAATTCTTTAAAATTATCAAACGATATCCTAACTGTAGTTCAGCATCATTCTACTTTACATATATGCAATCTACAAATCAAATTTAACCCTAAAAAGGAAAGCAGTAATTGGAATACCAGAAATGAAAATAAAAATCAACAAACGTTAAGGTCAGGAAGCTAAAAATGGATTACCACATTTCAACCCAATTTCTTATATTTAAAAGTAGATCCAACACTAGTCAAGTATTTAACATGAACGAATTTGTTGACTAAAAGAATAGAAATGTCAGTTTCAGAACGATTTTACAACTGGAGCTTTCAGTAAGCTCGAAAGTCAAACTACAAGATAGCAAGTAGCTATCGGTTACTCTTAACTTCTTTTCTACTAATATTCTGTTAAATTAACAGCTTCACTTCAACTAAGCCTTCACATTTCCACCTAATAATCTATTAGTACCTTGAACAAATTAGAATCTAGAATGATACAGCAGTTAAACCTTGGAAGAGGAATAAACAAAATGAGGGCTCTTTTGGCGATTGACAGATTATGGGATACTTCCATGCAAGTCTGACTTAATATGAGAGATTTAGGATGGATTCACAACATTTGAACTGGCCAAGCAGATGGAATACGAGCTCTTCTTAGAACAGTGATTGGACTGGTTTTGAAGCTGCTAAAGTAGCCACGGACTTGAACTGTCAACATGACAAGAGGTTTAGTTATATGCATAAAACATTGAACAGCTGATATTTGAGGTATAATCCAAAAGGTTGTGTTTGAAATGTATCCTTATAACTATCATGACGTTTGTTTCTGAATAGGTGCAGACATTCGACTACAGAAATCTTGTCCGCTAGGTAGTTTGAATTTCTTAGCATAAGCTGGTGATTAGCAAAATGTGACGTAGTAGTTGTTTACCTTTGGTTGTCTATATTTTTCACGTATGGCATTGAGGGTGCAGCCACTGGTGTTCATCTGTAACTCTTGCAGTGCAAAAACTGTAGTTCTAAGCTCTGATACCTTGTATCTGGTATAGTGCTCCAAAGTTGGATTCTGTGATACATCACCAGTCATTTCATAGTTGCATTCAAATGCAGAACGGAAGACGAATAGTATCAAGGAGTTTAAAAGATGCATACCCATGGGTGGTTAGATTGATCAAGCGTCCATCTAGCTAGAAATACAGCTGATGCAGCAGTAAGAGATGGAAGAAACTTAAGAAACCCATAGTCAACAAGTGTTAACTCAGCTAAATAATTTGCCATGAATTCCAGTTCGACAGAGGGAACCTGCCGGTTGGAGCAATTATTTACATATAAGCATTCTTATCATGATGTCGGGCAAAATAGTGCTATCTCATACCTTGTAAGAAGCTTGAGCTGCTTGAATGAATCTCCTAAAAGCGAGGATGAACAATGCCACAATGAAAAGCTTGCTTTTCAATGTATCATACTAAAGTAAAAATTACTAACAGATGATACAAATTGTATTACCTCAGGAATTTCTTAGTGGTTGGAGAAGCAAGTTGAAAGCTCAAAAGGTTCAAGACTCTGCTTTCCATTTTTATTACCTGCAATATGATGTAATTATGGCCTTTACACATCCACATGACAAAGTTTATGTCGGTCGACTGAAGATGGACAGCGCAAATAAGCTGAAACCTAGGAAGTTTAAGTACTTAGGAAGAAGTATATCCAAGTGGGAAAAATCAAGAAGGCAACTAGATAATTTTACCTTGTGGAAGATCAGCTTAATATGGAAAAATTAAGCAATACAAACCAGTTTAATAGAAAAGAATGTTAGGTTGACTTTGCAAGTAACGACAAACATACTGACAAATGGTTACAATATTGCACAAGGATCAGCTTTTACTAGGAAACTTGATCAGTACTCAGTAGGACTAACTCTGGAACACAATATCATTGGGTTGTATAAATGTATAAATGACCTGCACAAATCACAGACCAAAGAGATGATGACGATAAAGTATATTAGCATAAAAAATGGATACCTCTTCCTTCGAGTAAGTGTTATCTGTAATGAAGCAAAATTCTTCAACACGAGGTGCACAAATCTCTTCAAATTTGCTGCAACATTAAGTGCAATGACACAGAAAATCTTAGTACTGCAGAAAAGAGCCACTGAATAAAGGCAGATTCAGTTAGTTTCTCTATTGCTGAAGGTAGGTACATTTATATGTTGGGACACTATTATCTTCTTGAGAAAATGAGAAAAAGAACTCAGTTTAAGGGTAGACCACAATCCATGCTCAGAAGTTTGTAGCATGTTTATGAAATCAACTAAGCTCTTGAAAGTAAATCCTTTTCTTTCTACCCTATAATCTGACAATATTTCAATCATCTTCCACAAGCTAGATAACACAAAAGTGCAGCAAGACATTTACACAGGCAGGCAACCAGAAGATAGCCCATTCCAAGGGCCTACTCTTGATGCCCGGTCATCTTAAATATGAATGTCAGAAGTAAGCGGGGCCAGATGTTCAAATTATCAAAATGTCAGAAACAAGAACTTACGAAGCTATTAGCATGCAGGTAACTCCAAGTAGTTGCAGCTTTTGTTTTTCAATGTAATTTTCAGATAGGAAACGGTCAATAAGATTAACAGTTAGGTAAAGTGTGTCTGGAACCAGCCTATATTCTTCTGAAACCTGCAAGAGATATTGATGATCAACATGTAATGATATCGTAAGATAGTGAAAATAAAGTAGAACTGATTTGGACTTGCAAAGGGCAGCCCGATGCACTAAGCTCCCACTATGCGCGGGGTCCGGTTGTTAATAATAAGATATTTGAATTTATTGTATTGAAGTTGGCAAAAAAGTGCTCAAGAAGTGAGATATTTGACAAGATGTTATATCATGTCTTAGACAAAATAAAATTAATACTAGTTATAATAGTTCGAATTGTTGAAGATAGAAAAACTTTCCAATAAAGAAAGAGGTCAAGTTTTTTGGGTTGGACCAATTATGAAAGAAAATCAGGGAGGGAGAAACTGATAAAACTATCAAACTATGAACCCCATATGCCAATCCTACTAAAAACATACACAAATGATACTGCAGTCTAATTGCATGCTGTTTCTCAAATACTAGAATTTTGGTCAAGGAAAGCTTCTTCTGTAAATATCTCAAAATGGAAAAAAAAGATGCGTAGTAAAAAGGAAATATTAAACAAAGATGATGAAACTTGGATATGAAGCAAACATTTCAGTTGATAATGCTTGTTCAGTAAAAACTGATCAATCTAATGCTAGAGAACAAAAACGTCCAAGAAAAAGTAGTAAACAATTAAAAAGGATAGTGCTTGGTAAGAAATGTGAGAAGAAAATTTTAAATCATTTGGTAATGCATCCAAAGTTAACTGACCTCCACAAGCCAATCAATCAGAATACCTCGCATACCCTTGTTAATGTCCAGCTGCAGCTTTTCCAGGTAATCAACAGAAGGCCTACGGTCAAACTGCAGGAAAGAAAAATCCATCAGTGCTTTATGGGCTCACCAGTAAAACTTTAGTTCTTCCTTTATTTGGCAAAGAAAAGGACAGCTACATCTTTTAAACTTGTTCAAAGTGAAAAATTATTCAGTTTTTTATCCATGACGTGTGCAGGGTATGTCATTTTAAGCCCTTTATTATCCATGATATCATTGTACTAGAACCAAGATATTATAGTAACTGATTGTAGGTAACAGAACATTGATTTTATTTGTACCACCAGAGTGGCATGATGCTGTGTATGATCACATATCAGCAGTATAACAGTCATTTTACGTACCTCAATGGCATGCAAATTGTTATAAATATCAGGAGCATACAGACTACACATCAGTGGATCCTTGTGTCTTGAATCAATATCAGCAACTCCTAGATTAGCAAAGCCTTCTTGTTTCCGGCAAACTTTGCTTTCATCTGCATGATGCAACAGAAAGAAACTTAGCAGCTTCACAAAAGGATATGATACAGTAAAGTTTCACCTGATGAACAGATGATTAGAGTTTTTTGGAGGTCATTGCAGAAGATAAGGCAGACTAACAAGTTTCTTTCCCTTTTTTTTACCAGCTATTCAATCTCTTATTCATCTAAGTGTCATTTTACCATACACTACAGAACAAGTGGGCATGAGAACAGGAAAGTTCAACGAATTAACATATATATATATATATATATATAACGAGTTAACATATTGAGACTTCAATTCACGATAATAAAAGACTCTAATGCATCAAGAATCAAACATAAATGCCTGTTGCAGCAGGACAGATAGTGGTAAATTTCCCTATTCAGAATGAGACAATTTCCAGCAAAAGTTGGCTGATTAAGTACTTAGCTTGTGATCCATGTCACAGAACAGAGAGCAACTATAATAATTTGAAGAGAGCCCAGCATTTGTTAAACTAAAAATAAGCTGGCATTTTAGCCCCACCATGGCTGTATCACATTAATCTATTTAAAAGGCTAAAAGGATAGACAATGTATTAAATTTTCAATGCTTTTATATCTTGCACGATGACAGACAACATCAAACCTTTTTTCATTATATCCTGAAGTGGGATGGCCTTACAGGAACTTCTGTTCACAGGCACTAGATGGACTAAACCACATTGTGCTGGAGTGACATATCTACTTAGCTGAGGTAACATATCCTCCTTGCAGTTTGCCCCCGAACTTATTTCTTGTGATCCCTCAACCTTCACTTTCTTTACTTTATCAGCTATATCCTCTTTTCCTTTCTCTTGGAGCTGTGACAATTTTACCGAAACAGCAGGTTTCGCCTTATTGTTCCTCTTATCGGAGCCTTTTTTAACCTATCACCAATATGAACATATTTGACCACAAGCAATTCATATAACACAATTATTTTTATTTCCAAATGGCGAACATTGTGTGTCAACAAAAAAAGAAAACCTGAATTTTGCTTCCGTTGATGCAATTCATGTGAGAGTTCTCATGAAGTACATTCGTCATGTCTTTAAGAACAGCCCTTCTCTTAGGCTGAACACCAGTAGCAGTACTAGAGGTACCAGGTCTGTTCTCATCTGAGGCAGATCTTTTCGATCTTTTGGACTCTGCTCCCAATACATGCTTCTTATCCTGTTTTGTGGATGGGTGTAGGGGTGGTAATCGTCCTGATGAACCCAACACACTTGCTCTTGCTCGTGCTCGTGTGATTCGCATATTGTGCTCTTCAAGATGAAAAGATCCATGTTTTATATTTGCATGCCTCATCGAGCAGAAAGTGCGTTGAACTCGATGACACACCTAATATCAAAACTACAATTGCAGAACCAACATCCCGTTACCAAAAAATACACATGAAATAAATATGGCACAATGAAAAAGAATTTAAGAAAAGAAGACTATCTAGAAGCAAGTACAGATACCACGGACCTAAAACATCAAGACCATGGCCAAAAAAACTTGATTAATATAAACAAGTACCAGAAAGACTTCCTTTTGGAATTAGCCCCAATAAAGGACCATAAAAGCTTGATAGAAATAAGAATTATCTCCCAGCGAATTCAGATACACCAAAGTAAAGCTAAAAGAGTATCATTGACCATATAAGAAGAGAACCAGGAATGCAGGATCAGTTTAAAATGCTTGACTGTTTAATATACCATGGCGACTGTCAACCACAAGCTGGATTTGGGAGCTCATAATTGAGAAGATCAATCAATGGAAACATAATCGACTGGTTTGATAGATTCAAATAGGAGCTATCATAGTTAGCTAACTATATGCAGCCTATGCCAAATGGAGCTATTGGTATTGAAGCACCAAGTCTACCCTAAAATATAAACCTGAAATGGAAACCATGATCAGTGCAATTTTTAGAAATTTTAAATCCCAAAAGTAGTTCTAATTTAGGACTCATAATCTGATAAAAGGACAATGTTGAAGTTGAACTAGGAAAGAAGTGAAGAACCAGTGAAATACTTAGAGAAGTCCATCATGAACGAGATTTGGATGCTAGCATTCTCAAGAGCACATAATGAAATACGAACCACTTACCAAAAGGCAGTACTGGTAATTAGCTCTCGGACTTTACTCAACTTCTGCCATCATACCACATAGGATGCAATATTTGTTTTTCCTTTTGTAATAAAATGTCTTATTCCACCCGTCATCAAGCAGTCATATGCTGTTTCTTCATAATGATTCAATCACACAATAACAAGGACCAACTAGCAATCTACTTAAGAAGAGATTGAGAATACAAAGGTCCAAGCATGTAACAGAGCTCAAACTGGGAAAAAAGATTATATCTCTAGATAGTACCACGGGCTAAATTCACAATAGCATCTGTCAATTAGGCAAAAGAATCCCTTCTTTCTCTCTTTTGATCGACCAGGAGCCAACTAGGAAAGAAATATACTATTATATATCCATATTCAAAACAGAATGGAATTATCTGAAGAGAAGCAATAAAGGGAAAGCGTTACAAACACAACAACCAACATATCCTTTCATCAAAAATACCAACTATATAACAAACTATCAAGTGAGGTGACGCTATTTCATATCTGCTTTTTCAGTTCTTTATGGCTCAAGATCATCAAAATAGTACGAATATCACAAAAAACGACAGCACATGCACAACATACGTATTCACTTTTGAAAGAGTAGAACTCACCCGTATTACATTCCGATGCAATTCCAGAGGTATAAATAAATAAGCAGCAATCATGTTCTTCTCGCCAGAAAAATCAAGCCTGCATTAAACTCTTCATTAAATTAAAATAGAACTCATCTTGAGCAGTAAAAGAGCTATGTTTCAAATATACAATGCAAATTATTTAATGATAATTATAGTAGCATATTTAGTTGTGCATAGAGATTTTCTTTTTCTAAACTCTTAGCATGTTTCCACATCAAGGTGAATGGATCACACATATGACATATGGAGACAGTCAGTAAGACACCATTATTATTATTTTTATTTTTTATTTGAGAATTTTATTAGAATCAAAACAGCACAAAGATTGTGCTGTTGAAAGAGTTTTACAATTCGTGCATTGCACTACTCAGGATGATAATGCCCATCTATGCCTTGTACAAAGACTTGATAACACCAAAAATTCAGAAACAGAACTGACATATATACTTAACATATTTCATTAATTGTTATCCATAAATCAAATATATTTACAGATAACTGAATAAAACAAGAGGTCTTATTCACCTAAGGTTCTAAGCTGTGTCACCGGGTACAATTTATTAACCTTTGGAACAAAGCTAAAATGCTAATACTAGAAATATCTTCAGTTAATGTAATATTTGGTGGATTATCTTATAAACCAAAAGTAATTTTTAAATTGGAAAATTTCCTATATTTTCTGACAGTAGCAGGATAAATCTCTCCGAACACAACCGGATAAACTCCTCCATCAGAAATGACAATCCCAAAACTAAAACGGAAAATTAGTTTTTTTTTTGCCAGGTTAAAGAGAACACAAAATTTTCAAGAGAACTTTCCTACCTCAAGAAAATGAAAAAAAAAAAAAAAAAAAAAAAAAAAAAAAATAATAATAATAATAATAATAATAATAATAATAATAATAATAATAATAAAACTAAACCAAAAAAATTAAAAGTTGCTGAATCCAAAGACTGAAACTCCGAAAAAGAAAAGCATGGAAAAAAAACTGAATTAAATTGCAAATAAGACAGATCGAAGCAATTCTCGAGGATTCCGCACCCGGAGCTCAAAATTTCAACAAAAAAAGAGTACAATGCAAGTGGTACGTTGCACCTAATCTGCTTGATTATATACATATCAGAATACATGTCCGTATATAAGCACAAGCACATAGGAACATGTAATGTATGTATGTGTTAAATTGTAAATAATGTATGCATGGGAGCTGAGCTTACTTTGCATTAACAAATAAATTATGAGCTCCGAGAGAGCGTTCTAATGGAGGTCCCTCGGAAACCGAGCTAGGGTTTTTCTCAACACCGATCGGCCATTAAAATGAAGTTTGTAGCTGTGGTCCAGTGGAGGAGAGTGGAAGTGTGTAGAGTGAGTAATGTTTAGATATATAACAGCACTAGGACTGTACACATGTAGGTGGTGTGGTGGGGTATGGGGTGGGGTTTGGAGCGTGAGAGCGGGATAGAGCCATAGTTTAAACTTCTAAATATCTGCCAAATGACAAAAAATAAAAGGAAAAAAAAAAAGGCCTTCTTTTACTAATTCCACTCCTGATTTTGATATTTATCCGACAATAGACTTCTTTTTTTTGTTCTTTTTTTTACCTCTTCCTTTCTTCTTAGCTTTTAATTTTACAGCTCACTATTTAATTTCAAACTTCTTTGTGCTTAGACATTAAAAATGTTATTGTTCAAATTTTATTTTCACGCTTTGTTGAATTAATACTCTCCTTCAGATGAAATATATCCTAAGTGGCAATGGTTTATAGAAAACTTCACTTCCTAATTTTAATGTTTTTGCGCTTAGATATTAAAATGTTATTTTCATGCTTTGTTATATTAACACTCTCTCTTTGAGATGAAACATTTATTTGACAAAATATACTAGTAGTTTATTGATAATTTTTATTTTTTTTTGAGATGGAGTAGTTTATTGAATATCTCACTTTTTAATTTTAAACTTTTTTTGTGTTAATGTTCTAATTTTATTTTCACACGTTATTGAATTAATACTCTCTCTTTGAGATGAAATGTGCCATAGGGTTGAAAAAGGCCATGGTTTACTGATAAGTTCACTTTTGAATTGTAAATTTTTTTGCGCTTTGAAATTAAATATTATCGTTCAATATTTTATTTTATTTTTGAATTGAGTTATAATAAGAGGCTGTGTTTCTTGGTAAATACAAAATTAATTAAATAAAGGATCAAGTAGGAAAAAAAACATTTAAGGGGTTATTAATGACAAATAAGTGAAGAGAAATTGTGTAAGGTCAATGAACCTGTCCAAGCCCCTAAAAGGAAATAGGAGTAATAATAACAAAATAATAAAAGGAATGGATAACAAAAAAACGATTGATGTTCCTAATTAAGATTTAAACCTACAAATTTATGACTAAGGTTTTATTACCACTTTATAACGTTCTAAACTTTAATGTTTTTGCGCTTAGACATTGAAATGTTACTTTTAAATTTTATTTTCATGCTTTGTTAAATTAACACTCTCTCTTTGACATGAAACATTCATTCGATAAAAGATAGAGTTATTGATAATCTCACTTTTAAATTTCAAAACTTTTTTTTGTGTTAATGTTCTAATTTTATTTTCACGCTTTAATCAGAGGCGAATGCAGCATATTGATGTCGTGTTCATCTGAACTCAGTACTTTCGATGCGGAGAATAAACTTATGAATAAAAATTTACTAAAATTATAACAAATAGATTATATGAACCCATAACTTTTAAAAATACAATGAGTTTAATGCTAGTATCGTAAAAGTTGAACTCATAGAGTTTAAATTCTATATTCGTCTCTGGCTTTAATGAATTAACACTATCTCATTGAGATAAAATGTGCCCTAGGGTTGAAAAAGGATATGGTTTATTATAAGTTCACTTTCAAATTTTAATTTTTCTGCTATATTGAATTATCACTCTCTCTTTGAGATGAAATATACCCCGGGATTCAATAAAAGGCTGTGTTTATTGGTAAATATAAACTTAATTAAATAAATGATGAAGTAGAAGAAAAAAACGTTTAAGGGATTATTAATGACAAATAAGTGAAGAGGAAATAGTGTAAAGCCAATGAACCTATCCAAGCCCCTAAAAGGAAATAGGAGTAATAAACTAATAAAAGGAGTGGATAACAAAAAACGATTGATGTTCTTAATTAAAAATTAAACCTACAAATTTATGACTCAGGTTTTATTACCAATTTATGAGACCTGCAATATGCCTGGACGCAACGCAATTGAATGACGGCATTTATTTCAAAAACTGGAAAAAACATTTCAGAATTATTTTTTACTTACCATTCGCAGCCCTATAAATGAACATGCATTCTCAATTTTTTTCATAAATTTATTTCAATTTTCTTTTGGAGTGGGGGTGGAATCATTTGTTAGAATATGATGATTCCAAATTTCAAGGACAGATTGGAAAATAATTGACAATCAATAGAGTAAATTCAACTTGTGGATGAACTGCAAAAACAATTTGTGAGTTTTTTTAGGCAATTTTTTATTTAGGAACAGCAAACATTTAGCCCTGACTAATAGGGATTAGTCTCTTTTGAAACTACTTATCACATTCATCTGGACATTCTAAATCACCATTTATGGTCTACTTTGATGGTAAATACCCTATTGAGCTGTGGTGATCTCATTAATTAAACAAAGAAATCAACCCAAAAATTAGTCAAATATTTAAACAAAGTTTATGACTATTGTATTCATTCCTTTCTGGACTAATATCGAATGCACAACTTCAAGGTGTCCTTTTAGTTGATTTTAGCTAATATGAGCCCGTTTGAATTAGATGACCGTAAATAGCCGATAAGCTTGAGTGTTGAAAAATATTTTTAAGTACTGAAATTGATTTGTTAAATAAATATTTACGTGTTTGGATAGAAGTGCTGAAATTGATATTAAGCAGTTGATGTGTTTGATAAAAAAGTGCTGATAAGTTATTCATTTATTAAAATGACTAAAATACCTTTAAAAACTTTACAAGAGAATATAAATTAAAAAGTTTCTTTGTAAAGAAAAGGATGAACAACAAATATGGAACGAGGAGAAAGTTAGTAAATTTATTTTGGGAAAAGTATTCCGTGATTACAAAATATTATTAAAGATAAACTAGAAAAAATCTTTGTCAAACGAAAAGTGTTTATAAGTTGAAAAACTATAAGTTGAGAGTGACAAACTTATAACTTATTGCTGATTTTAACTTATATATGCACTTGGATTATAAGCACTTTGGATGTTTATCAAACACGTAAATAAGTCAAAAGATGTTTATAAGCCAATTTGACCACCTTATAAACTTAGTCAAACACCCTCTATATCTCGAAAACGTATTCTATTTTATTAGTGAGTTGGTTTTAAAACATTAGAAGTTAGAAGACTATTTTTATCAAATGTACTACAAGCTTGGGACCATAATCACTCACTCGCTTTGATGGACTTACTAAATTGTCTTTGGTTTTTGAATTCATACCTAACAAACCCCTCCTTAACTAATGCGCAGCCGTGCCTCAAATTGAAAAAAAATATGGAGATTATCCATAAAACTTTTGAGTTTGAAGATATTTTTGTTGTTATTCTGTATTGCTGTAATAAACAATTAAACTTTTTGAAAAAAAACAAAACAGAAAGTTAGTAATACTTGTTTAACGAAATAGATTCTGGAAAACAAATAAAAAAAATAGTATAGGAATAAATCGAGCCCACTGAATACACAATGTGTCCTTAAGAAAATTATTCCCCTCAAGTACCCGAGGTGCTGGAATATATCCTCCCAGGATAGAATGATTTAACTCACCAGTGTATTGGTACCAAAACTCTGATGAACTGCGAACCACTCAATGGTCGTAAAACATACTGGAAAATATTGTGCAAAAGAAGAAGAAGAAGAAGAAGAAGAAGAAGCTCAGAAAATTTCGTAAGGAA